ATAACACTCATTAGCATCCAGTTTACAGGTGAATCTGTCATTTTATTTTTAAATCTTTCTTAACAAAATGCTTACCTATATCATCACGTGCTTACGTGTTACTGATCTATAATATTTTTCAATTTTCGAATTTACTCTAAATTTGTTACAATATCTGTAGGTTTATTGTTTTAGTCTTTGTTTAACCTTGATTTATACTTTTTCATAGTGTTCAAAGAAACTGATCTGTACGCACATTGACTTACAATGTACGCACTTTGGATTCCATATCACATTTTAACAGTAACATTTTTTTCAATTGTTATATCACGTTTATTACTTTTTTACTATCATGGTTTAGTAATTTTCCTTTTTTTTTTCTTTTTTATGAGTAAGTAGTATTTAGTATTACATTTTGATTATATTATACTATGAATCTAGTTCGACATTTTTACTATAAACAGGAATATGAAATCATTTATTTATTAATTAGAAGTAAGATATAATTTTCTCTACATTATAAACTTTTCTCTACATTAAAAACGTGTATCCTTTAAACATTTGATTGCAAGCGACAACAACAATATAAAGAAGAAATACTTACTACAGAAAAAAGAAGAACAGTATCAAGTGCTACGCCCGGACGAACTTCCCAGCTCGGCCGACAGTAACGGGTCGGTGGGATCTTCGTCCGTTTGTATCGCTTATACGTGTTGACTACATCTACAACCTGCATTGTAGAAGAAAATAGCAGCAAGAAAAACAAAAGGACGAAGAAGAAAGAAAAAACGAAGAAACAGTTACGAAAATCAAGAAAATAACATTCCCGACGGCATTTTGGAAATTGGAACTTAATTGCAACGCTCACTTTATAGTAAATGTGTAATTAATCAATGGAAGCCTATACGTAGCTAAGACTAAATTAAAAATTGTAATAAGCTAAATTATTATAATCAGTTACTAAATACGTATCGTAGCTACGAAGGCAATTCTTATACGCGCGCGTTGCTGGTTTTCAAATAGGCCTAAAGAAAAATGCACCGTGTGAGAGCGCTTTAGTTTAACCTTAGTTTTTGTTGTCATTTTTTTAATGAACTTACTGAAACAGAGTACAGCTAGGTATTTACATATAAATATTTTATACCAATTTTTTGACGATGGAATAATTCAATAAATAAGAGAACAGCAGAACCATGCGACGGCAAAATTGAATAACATCGCACTTATTTGATTTTCTAGTGTAATACAACACTAGGTTATTCTAATTAAACTGTAGCTTCTTAATCAGAATTTCTATCTTTAAAAACAAAACACTTCAGCTCCACAACTTTAAAAACATAATTCTCATATAAAACTTGCCTCATAAGAATGAATCAAAATGAGTTGTTTCGTTGATTAGTAATCATATATGAAGTCGAAAAATGTTTGGACGAATTTTTGTTTTATTGGAATTCCGCCCTACGTTTCGAGTATATTAAAAATGATGTAGGGACCAATTTGTATTTTATTTTCCTGGAATATTTTTCTGTAATATTCTATTGCCCTAACTGTATTTTCGATATAGTTTTTTGTTAGTATTTTACATGATGTAATGAAAAATGTGAAAGTATTTTTTAAAGAATCCACTGCGAATAAGTAATGGGAAGATCCCGTAATCCTTCCATTATTCACTGTTAGGAATAAGTATATGTTAAAAAGTAAGAGGATATTTATTTTTATTGAATATCATGATGATTTACTATCATAATACTCATATATTTTTTGTGAAAATACTCTAGTTTATAAGATCGAACAAACACAAAGAAAAATTCCTTCGCTACGACAGGACACGAATAGGCGTCTATTGCATCTATTACTTGTAGCAGTGGCTTCAGGCTGACAGTCCAGTCGAGTAGAAGAATTTTTCTTTGTGTTTGTTCGATTTGTATTTCTATAAAATTTAAAAAAAAAAGAAACTTCTAGACCTAATATTCTAAAACCTAAAAAGACACTATTCTGTATAGTATTAACTGTCAAAATTTTATAGTAAGTTCCAATTGTATCAAAAGGATTAGAAAAATTACTTGATGTGTGGCTAAATTTACTGTGTTTTTTATAACTTTTATTATTCCTTTGACGTGCTACCATCAACGAATTTTGTATCAATATTAGTAATACTTTTGCGATTATTGTACTTCACACAGTGTTTTTGAAATTTTACATAAATCTTCACTTCACTTCATGTACCTAGTTGCTTCAAAATATATTTATGATTTTTTTAGCATAAGTAACGTAACAACATAGTACATTTCGCCCGGTCACGCAGTATAATCACAGGATTCCTTACTTTTAAAAAAGAATATTTATTTAGAAAAAAATTAAAAAACCATTAAAAAGGAACCTATAATTAAATGCGGTATGAATTTTATCATAATATGTTGTCCTACAAAAAGCCGTTTCACATAACGGCCCACTAGAGGAACTTACTAGTTGTTGTATTATTTGAAATATTCTCTCACTGGACAAAGTTTATATTTGATTAAAATGTCAATATTCAATAAAGTTTGATGAAAAATTCAAAATGCGCTCTTTTCTAACTTACTCTTCGACTTTACAGAAAAAAATTAAACGACTCCTAGTAACGGCTTCTAGTTAAGAGGCATGGTTTACATAAAAAAAATAGGTACAAATGACAATAAACAAGGTCTTATGTATTAAATATACTTTTCCTTCCGTGACTTTTCCAATTTCGTTCCAGAAAGTCACGACTTATAAAATAATCATAAAACGCGTTTTCAATTTTATAGCGAAAAGTGCCCTCAATACATATACTAATTTTTCAAGACTTTATATGTTTGATCTTCATTCGTTATGTATCTTTTAATAAAACTAAACAAAAATAATATTGTTATAATAATTTATTTCAACGATTTGCATGTGGTTTTCCAATTTCGTTTGTGTGAACAGAGGGGCTGCAGATGACAATTGTAAAATTCGTTGAACAATGCTGTACGAGTAGATATTTGACAAAAACATTTAAATGTATCTTGATCATAAACAAAAAACACATCTAAATTTAATAGTTTCCTAGATTTGATAGCTGCTTTGTGAGAACCGGGAGTCCATACATTTGCGGGTAGGTATAATTTTTACTTATTTCTTTACAACACCAAAGTTACGTTTTACAATCTAAAAACTACACTATAAAATATTCCAATACTGCATTTGCAAATGCGCTGTGGCGTCTCTGTGAAGTGCACAACATACATGAGACGCCCCGTAATGAGCATTTAGGCGCTCGTTGTTTATAAGTAATCCAGTATTTATTACAGCGAGTCACTAGATTGCAAATAGTCATCGGCGCACTTTCGTAGGCGCTCAAAAATAGAAGATACGTGTCGTAGCGCGAACGCGGCGTCGGCATCCAGCGGTTACGTATGTAGTTAGTCAGCCCATTATTTTGCGCCCGCGTCATACATACCCGCGCCGCCGCATCTCCCCCGCTTGTTTTTCACACTGCTATCATTTATAAACGTCATGCGGAGGAAGTTTACAAAAATACTATTCCTCAACTTAAAATATTGAGCTAAGGTTTCAAGGCAAAAAAGAAAAATCTCAATGTTTAAACAAATCAATATTATTTCCAATAAATTTATCAGTACATCCACATTGAATGCAATTATTAATTTTACTCATAAAATACAACATAAAAGTCTTCGACACGTGAAACTAAACATAAGAACGAGTATAAGATAAGTCTATTTACATTAAGTTGGTTTAAACACAAATAAAACATCGAACGTAACAAAAATGAGTGCAACAATAAAATAATAAATATTTATAGACAGTGGACTTCAACGTGGTAAAGATACAATAAATCTAAGGATATAATTAATCGTTAGTTATACAAGTTTGTTACAAAATTATCTATTGGCCTTTACATCACAGAGCTAAGCGATCTCGAGAGTCCACGACAACGCAAGGGCAACTCCGTCTCGTGTGTCAGCGCCTTGTTGGATGAGTAAGTGCGCCTCGCAATCCACTACTTAAATTAACACTCTCGCAATCAAACCAAACGTGTTAAAACTCGGACAAACTACAACAAAACTGGCACTAGTACCGAAACCAAAGTGCAATCTCATGAATAAAAAGATAAAACAAAATGCTTCACCAAATGTCGCAGATGCACTTAAATGCGTCTGTTAGGGACAGTGACGGGAGATACCGAAGTCTCATAACCAAGTTTATAAAACTGTAAAAATTAAGCCGAAGTTTGAGAACTCAAGACATTGTCAATTCTACAGACTAGAAAATGCAAACGATTCGAAAGTGTCGACCTGCCAAGTCCACTCCATAGTCAAATGCCTTCACGATAAAGATGTATGAATTTATGATACGGTTGATATGTGTAAAAGTACTGTGCGGATCTCTTAAGCGATGTGATAAAGCGATAGCTCTGTTGCGGTCCCACGATCGGCGAAACAACCTTATAAAATATGTAAAATACATTATATAATCAATTAATGAACACACTATGAAGGTTATTATCAATTACCTAGTCAACAAGAGAAACTGGCAGATTCGTTAATCACCATATATCGCTCCACTGAGATTTTCGAAAGACCTCGCACAACAATAATTTTATAACTTAGTACAGTCGTTAGGCCTTAAGATTTACAATTTACAGTTATTTATTATGGCAGATATTTAACAATCAATTTGTTTATACTATTAAATACGATACTGACATTTTTTACAGAACAAATACTAGGGATATATACATGCTATAACAACGTGCACGTGCGGCCGCGGCGCCAAGCGCGGCGCGCTGCTAAATGGCACTTTCGATACGAGCTCAGTCCACAGGCACAGACAATTTGGCCGAGTGCTCACACCCGCCTTCCATGAGTCTCCAGTCGCCCGGCTGGCGTCGGCTAAATACACCCCCACATAGGACCTCTAACATAATTACAGCTACTCTAAATTAAACTAATTGTATCAGATTACAATGTCGGTTCCGGTACCCCCGCCGGCGACTGGTAGGGCGCGCATAAATCATTTAAATAGTTAAGGTACAAGAAAGCGGGAAGGCCAGTCCGAGCCGGCGGCACCCACACCGATTTTGTCCAAATCCAGTAAACCGTTAAACAGAGTAAAAGGAGTACAGTGAGCAAAAAAATTGAAGGGAAGTCCCGGATACACCGCGGAGGTAGGGATGGCGCTAGGCGAACCCAGGCGGGTCCCACGTGGCCGTCCATCAGGAAAGCTGCGGCTGCAGTAGGTAGTAAATGCAGGCTGCGAGCGCAGGCAGCACCACGGCTACCACGTGCAGCAGCGATACCGTACGAGGCTTGTGCTGCAGCTGTTGCAGCTGCATCTGCAGGCGCGCGCGCTCAGCGCACACCTCGGCCCATCGCTCTTTGGCACGCACCAGCTCTTCCTCCAGCGCGTGCAAGGACCCGTTGTGCATGGTTAGTTGCAGCCGCGCCTCGTCGTCCAGCCGCACGACTTTCGGCTCCTGTACTAGCTGCGCTGAACCGCTGTCGTCGTCGCGGTTGATCTCAGTGGCGGCCGAGTCAGACTCGTCATCTTCGTCGTCGTCGTAGTCTAGCCGGAACATCTTATCGATCTCGGCGCTTATCTTGCCGGTGTCCATATCTTCGGGGCTCTGCTGGGTGTGGCTGAGGTCTTCGAGCGAGTCGGAGGTGGCGACTTCTTTGTCCACCATGCAGGTGTTCTGCGCACTGGTCTGCAGCCGCTCGATCTGTTGGTCCTTGGCGAGTATCTCCTGGCGCAGTTTTCCGAGCACGTCGGTGAGGTCGTCGATGTCGGCATGTGTGGGCCGGAACGCCAGCTCAGCCTGCATCTCAGCCGCGGCCGATGCCAGGCGCTGGATCTCCGCGAGGTTCGCTGCTTCAGCTACCGTCGACCGTGTGAGTTGGGCCTAAAAACATTCAAAGGTCTTGTAAAACTTGGAAAATATGTAACATACAAAAGGGATTCTAGCATATTCTCTATAAAATTACCTTTAACTTGCACGACTATGACTTCATGTACCATGATAATCAAGTGTAATAGCATATTAATATTTCTGAAATTTCGTGAATACAATTCTAAGTACGTACATACACGTAACATAATAATCAACTATGCATACCTGCAGGTCTGCGATTCTCGAACGGAAATCCTCAACATCGTCATGGTCAACCGTGGGCGGCGGCTCTTCGCGCTGCTCGGTCTGCGCGGCGAGCAGCTCGTCGCGCACCCCGCGCAGCTGATCGTTCTCCACCGACACTGCATCCAGCCGCTCGCGCAGCGCCTTGATCTCATCGTTTAGGCCAGCCATCACGCGCAATATGTTCGCATACTCTACGCCGCCTTTACTCTGGTTATTAAATATTTTTTATTTGTTATTTTGTGTTTAATTCTTGCCTGAATTCTGGAGTTTGTATTCAATATTACGATTAGTAATTACTTCATGTATCGAATAAACACTTAATAATTTATGTACGTACCTATGTTGTTACTGTTTAAAAAGATTTACATTGAAACAGAGGTAGATTTAACGTTACGACAACACGGAAGTGCTAGGGATAACGCTAAACCTATCTCTGTTTTGTACATCAAACACCTAACAATCATTTTAAAATGTTAAGGCGATGAGGTGCCCAAAATCGCTTAAATATGGTGTTTTGTGTAAGTTTTTAGGCGATAACTTAGCACGTGGAACTTTGAAAATAGTACATCCTGGAACACGTATCTTGAAGTGTAGCTTGAAGTTCCTAGAATATTGCTTTTGTCATAGGTAATACAAAAACTGGATTACAGTAAGCGTCTGGTGGTTATTTTTTGACATATTTTTCTCGGGCAAACCAAAATTGCTTACTACCAAATTTGGTGTGGTTATTTAAATGAAGTACCATCTTGATCCTGACACTTTATTTGTTTTAAATAAAAGACAAATAACAAATTTAGAAGTAAAAAGTAACTTTCACCTACTAAAGTACGAGCTAAATATTTGCATGCAAATTATGGACAGGCACTTAACAGTGTGAAAAAATATCATACACAAAAAAATACGTAAATAAGTAAATATTTACCAATTCAATTATTAACCAATTCGTTGAAATCAAAACAAAATAATAATAAAAAGTCAAATTTAGCCATTAGGTGAGAATAAAAAAATATATTTTTGGTTGGATTAGAACCTAAAACACAAAGTATTCAAAACAAAAATGAAATTATTGTATGCGTCCTTGATTATTTCGTAAAATTGCAACGTTGAAAACTTCTGCTGCGTAGCTTGCGTTCGTGGGATACGTTGGGAGACATCTGTTTTGACATGGTTTTGACAAATTAATATATATATTGTATTGTAATCGGCTGTCTACCGTCGAGCACGATACTTACGAGATATGTAGTTGGACATAGTTATGCAAACTCTAACCAACCCACAAAATGTCACTTTCGAGATAATTACATTTTTGTAAAAACAGTGTAAAGAAATAAATAGCTACGTTTTTTGAGACTAGAAATCCGCCGAGGACTCGTTTGCTACTCGGTACTCGGTGTACTCGGCCGAATAACTCGGTTCATGAGAAGAGTACTCGGTTAAAATAAAGCATCACAGCTATAGACATATAAAGTAAAATCAACAATATATTTAAAATATACAAAAGAGATACTAGAAATTGTAGACAATTGTAACAATTTCTAGCAATTTAGTAATTTAAAAAGAAAGTTTACATT